GTTCTTATTAAAACTCATGCTCAGAGATAAGATAGAAATTCACATTGAAATACAGATCTAGGGTGAAATACCTGTTTTTTCATTACCAGACAAACATGAACACATTATTTAAACTTTCCGTGACTCATTTTCCTCATCTGATGATGATGATGATGATGATAGAAAATTCTTGTATTGCTCTTACTATTTATCAGGCACTGCTTTAAGAATTGTCATATGGGGTAGGTGCTGTCTGCTTATAAATGAGGAAATTAAGGCCAAAGAAACAGTGGATCAGGAATTTGAAGCTAAGCAGCCAGACATGAGAGTCCAGCTCTGTCTATTTTAATATCTGTCACTTAGCATGTTCTCTGTAATGGTCATTCTTATCTCGTTGTAAGGAAAAAGATAGATCATATTCAAGGGCTTCAACTGTATCTATTGCTTGAACTTTTTTATATTAACTTATAAATTATAAGGTTGATAGGACCTCTTCCTTTTTTTTAAGATCATTTTACTGGGGGCTCTTATAGCTCTTATAACTATATGTATATCAATTGTATCAAGCATATTTGTATATATGTTAGGACCGCTTTCTTGCAATCCCAAACCTAGAGATTACTACACTGTGTTTGCATATAAATTTTCAAATTTATTTCAGTCTTAAATCTCTTTTCTTTTTGAAATGCTATATCCAAGAGCAAGTGCTGGAATATTGTTTTCAATGTTTTTACTGGGGGAGGAACTCTGAAGCTTTATTCTCTCCTAACTTAATTATTCATAAAATATGAAGAGCACCTAGGCTACAGCTGCATAAAACAATGCTCTCAGAACAGTTTGGGCTATCTTTATACAGCCATGACATAGAAATGGTCAGGAAAGTTTCCCGATTTACAAAAGTACATATTGTCTGCAATTTAATCTGCTTAATGGCAGGTGTTAACTGACTACTCTGCTAGATAATAGTGAGCTATGGTAAAGTTATATATATATTTATATGCATATACATGTAATTTTTAAATGCAAACCTGCTTAGGAAAAAAGGAACCCCTTGTAATGCAGTGATTAAAGAGCTGGGATGCTAACCAAAAGGTTGTCAGTTCAAAGCCACCAACACCTCCTCCTGGAGAAAGCTATGGCAAGTCTCCTTCCTTAAGAAATGGACATTCTTGGAAACCTCGTGCCACAGTTCTACTCCAACCTTTAGGGTTTCAGTAAGCTGGAATTGACTTAGTGACAATGGGTTTGGGTTTGGATGTGAATTACTAGTTCAAGAAAATTTAAACAATAAAAGACCACTATTAAAAGACTGAAATACCAAGTTTCTCACCATGTGACTGAACTGGTCTATGAGGAAAAGGATCCAGCTGTTTTCTCAAAACGTCTGTAGTCAAAAGAAGCACTCGATTCATGAGCTCGTGAACCTAAATACATTTATATTTGAACAAACAATATTTAGCTGAATTCTGTAATACCCCTAAGCTTCTTATAAGGCCAGCTCTGAAATACATAACGCTGCACATTCTAAATTGAGCCTCTCACTGCTGTCACAAGTCACAGGAGCCAGAACGCAACATAAATCGCCAAGTTCAGCAGCGCCTACCTCCCTGAACCTCCTGTGCCTGCCCCTGTTTCTGCACCGGCTTGCTCTTGCAGCTCTCGCCGGAAACATTGCTGTAGTTTCTTATTGATCTCCCACCTCTGCCCGCCCCCAGTCATCCTCCACACCAGCTGCCCATCTGATCTTGTCATTTCACTATCTAGGTGGCTTTCAAGGTGTGGCATGATCTAGTTTTTGCCTGCTTCACTTTCTCTTACACATCTTGAGTCATGAACCACGCCAAAGCTGGCCTCCACCTTTGGCTAACCACAAATACCTCCCCTCTGACCCAACCTTTTTGTGGCCTTAGAAGCATTTATTCATCTTTCAGGACTCCACTCACAGACGTCCTCCTTTAAAGAGTCTTCTTAACTCGCTCGCTCTCCTGGACCCTCATTCTCGCAACATCTACTAGGACTTGTTCATTGCAGTAGTTTGTCTCTTTGCTCCCCTCAATTCTATATTCCATTTTAAATTTTATTTTTTGTTTCCCTGGGAGTTACCAGGGCACCTCTCACATAATAGGCACAAAGCAGATGTCTGTTAATATGATTACAAGAAAGAGTAAAAATGATTGTATCTTCAGCCAACTATATATATGTATACACATGCAGCAACGACAAAACACCAAAAACTCCATACCTGGTTAGATAAATAATCCAAGGAAGCTTGTTGCTCATCCATCAGACTTCTTAGCAGTTTTTTGGTACTTCGTGTGTAGGAAACCATAGAACTTTGCAAATTTCCTTAAACCATAATAAAAGTGGCTGCTAAATATAACATTATTATAGGAAACATTAAAATATAAAATTTCCCATGGGTCGTTTAAGTATATAAGCAACAATAACATGCATATATGTATGTTATGTATGTGCTCATATATACATATGTATATTATCTTGTGCATGTATATACATATGTATGTTCTCAGACTTACATATTCTAGTTAGTATATTTTTTCTCTAACTCAGAATTGGCCATTCATAACGTAATTATGCCTCCTAAAATATACATCTACACCTCACTGCCATAAAGTTGATTTTGACTCATAGCAACCCTGGAGTAGAGTACAACTATCCCTTTGGGTCCCTGAGGCTGTAAATCTTTACTGGGGTAGAAAGTCTTATCTTTCTCTGATGGAATGGCCAATGGGTTCGAACTGCTGACCTTGCAGCCATCAGTCCAATGTGAAACCAAGGTTCCTTTCCTAATAATATGGAATATTCAAAACAATGGAATATTTAATTACAATGGAGAGACAGCATTGTGAATATCAGTTCTCACTTTTTAAGATGAGATGTATGAACACTGGGGGTTCAGGACTTGGCAATTCTTACTATACAAGATAGTAAAAGGCAGTAATCCCATACCAGGGCAAGTTAATATTTAGAAATAATTCTTTGTACATATCTTTCTGCTAATAGTGTTTTTCATGTAAACAATTGCACTCACACACACCCACATAAACTCCAAATAGCCATCGAGTCGATTCTGACTCAGAGCAATGCTATGGAACAGAGTAGAATTGAGCTTTTGGGTTTCTGAGTCTGTAACTTGGTATAGAAGCGGACACCACATCTTTCTCAGATCAGAGCAGCTGGTAGGTTCAAACCACTGATGTTTGGGTTAGTAGGTAAGCACTTAAAAACTACACCGCCTGGGCTTCTTGCACGCGCGCACACACACACACACACACACAATAAACCTTATATTTTCTTTTTAACAAACTTTTATTTTAAAACATCTTGAAGTAATTTTGCTTCCAGAAGAGTTTTAAGAACAGCACAAAGATCTTGTTTTTCCAAAACAATTTGAGAGTTAGTTTTCATAAAGCCCCTTAATCCCTTGCTAATTCAGTGTATATTCCCCATACCAAAGACACTTTCTAAACTCAACTAGCCTTACTTGTTCAGACCCTATGAAAGTATGGCCAATTATACCAACGATATCCTGTACAACAAAAGCTCCCCAAACACCCGCTATCATCCGCCGATTTCAACATGGAGCTTTGGAAGCTGAAATCTTTACGGGACCAGATAGCCTCATCTTTCTCCCTCAGAGCTGCTAGTGGGTTTGAACCATAAACGGTGTGATTAACTTGAGACAGTACCACCAGAGCTCTTTTTATAACAAAAGACGCCATGTATAATTGCATGCATTGCCCTTTAATTTTTTTTTATTTATATAATCCCAAATTTTACTGTAGCGGTAAAGCACATGGATAGCTTTAAAATCTATTTTTCATCTACCTCGCCCAGTTTCATCTCTCTTTTTACTTCAGTCGCAATTTCTAATACCTTCTTCCTGGATTTCGATACCCGTGCTAATGGGCTTAAAGTTGTACTTGCTGGTCAGAGACATCTGAGGTTCTTGTATTACACACAGAATTAACTAGATTAAAGTGAACATTTTATACTTCTGACTCAAGAGTTACAGTTCTATGAGAAGTGAATCAGATCCTCACCAACTCCCCTTCTAATCTCCCTTTTCCATCCCTCACCCTGCATGCATTGAATTGTAGTCAAGTAATATGGCCCTTCTACCCATAGTTCCTCACATGCTGTATTATAACTCTGGGTGCTACACCTGTGATTATAATGAGGGTGTTCTGTAATATACTAATGGACAGGATTAGGGTGGGATTAAGACCTGACTTTAGGGAACCAATAGAAAGGTCTCGGGAGCCGGCCCCAATCCCAGCTACATGGATAGC